CCAGCAAAATCTTTTTCTGCCTGATGTAAGCACCTCCCGTCCCCTTCTCATCAACGACCCAGGCAAGCTCTCCAGCTCAACAACTCCACACAGAACCCCAAGCCTCTCCCACTCCATCTCTGAACAATATCAAAAGCTGTCCCTGGCCCCACCAAAAGCAGAGGTGAAGGTCACAACGCTGTTTCCACAGCCATTAACCCCAGACGGCAGAGCAGAGGAACACGGGATTGCCCCGATGTGTCATCACATCCCCGCTGAGCAAGGCTCTGTTTCCACACTGTATCCCCAAACTGCTCCTTGCAGGCCTAGAGGCCGTTTCCTGGGATGATTTTTGATCACCCAGCGAGCAAGACAGGCTCCCTCCAGCCAAAACTGAGGAGAAAAGGTGCAGCTGGAGACCAATTTGCTGCAGCGCAACCGCCAGAAAGAGCGGAGAAAAATGGAAATATCCTCCAAGAACCCTCAGCTTTTCAATAAATAAGGAAAGCTGCTGTYGAGATATAAAATAGGCAGGTGTTATTCGTCGGAAAGCAAATTGTGGTGGGGTGCAATGGAGCCAGAGGAACAGTTATCCACAGCCTCTCACGCTCATTTCTTTGTGGAAATCACAGCGCTGGCTGCAAAACACGAGAGCCACGACCATTTCCAGCAGCGTTAGAAACACAACCAACACATCAACCATTTGTCAGAGTGACAAAACTAGCAGGAAAAGAGAAAGGGAAATATGTCCTTTTGAAGCACCTCCACGGGGGATTTGCAGAAATTGGGTGATAAAAATTAAGTGAATGGCCGGAATCGTCCGACACAACTCACTTCATTTGTGATTTTACACTTCAGGGTTGCTGGGGATTTTCTGAGCCAACAACTGCTCAAAGAGAAAAGTGCCCACTGCAGAGGACTCAGAAAAGAGTTGTAATGGGYTCTCTCAGCTAGAAACAAGCAGGTTTAGGGCCAACACCTCCCAGTTAAGGGAGGTYTTTTTAAGATCATTAATACCAAGACATCAACTGCAAAGCACCCAGCACTGTCGAAATATTAACTTTTAATGGCAGCATGGCAATTCCACATAACCTGTGCCCTTCTCCTGCAAGGGGCTCACAGGGGACAGGGCTGGCCAGGCCTCCCCTGGCCATTGCTGAGGAAGGAGATGGAKGGCAGCCCCAGGCAGCATGATTGATTCCCCTGGCTATTCCAAGCAGGAAACTGGGATGGAAGGGTGGCAGCATCCCTGGCTGTGAGGTTTGCCTTGCTCCAGCTCAATGTCAGCGATATGTGATAGCAGGCAAGAGGTCGTGTCACATTTTTGATGAGGATTATGTGTTGCACCAACAGCTGAGGAGCCAGGTGGGATGAGCCCTTCCTTCAAGAACAAATTATTTTTTATTGTTGCTCCTCCTGCAGTGAGCCCTCCCCTTTCTACATATGAAGCACAGGTAGAATTAAGGCTCAAACAGCTGATGCTGCCTCGGTGTGGTAGAGAAAAAGCTCCTCTTGGTGATGAAGCCACCAGCCATCCTGACTTAATGCTTACCCAGCCTGACCCAAATGAAAAAGTTACCAGAAAAGTTTCTTTCTAACTCACAAAGCTCAGCTTAGCTCTTGAGGTCGATCCTTATTTTTCAYTTCCATGTTGTTATCACTCCCAACTCAATGCCCAAAATGCTGAAATCAAACCTCAGGGTGAGGTTTCAAAGGAGATGGGTAAGAAATCACTAAAAAYTTCTCCACTTCCCATGGAAAATTCTTCTGCAATCTCAGCTYTAAAGGCAGGTTAACAACAGTCTGRAGCTTGGTGGTTTAAGGGGAGGGTTTTTTGGGAACTCGAACAAAGGCAGCAACCATGACACTGTGACACCCACAGCATGATGAATGTGTGAAGCAATCGCTGCCACCGGCCATAACAACAATGAAATATGGGAAATGGTAAATCAGGGTGGGMAGGAGGAGGAGGGAGTAGTGGAGGTACCAGAGGCACCGCAGCAGGGGARYCCCTGGCTCAGTGGGCATTAATGGYTGCAGAGAGGCAAMGACTGGCTGGATTTTTCACTGCTCCCTCCAAACCAGCTGCATCCCTCACTCCAAAGGAAAACCAAAGAGATCTCATCTAAACACATCCCTCCAACACCCTGAGCTCCTGCCGATCCCTCTGCTGACACCCCAGGATCTGGCGGGAGAGGCTTCTCAGGAAAATCTTCACACTGGTAACTTTTTGTCCTGGCTCAGCCCCTTACTCTGAGGTGGGCAGAGGGCATCTGCCTGTGTGCATAATTGGGCATGTAAATAGGTCAGGCCCGGCTCGTGGGGCTGCTGCAGACACAGACACATTTTTCTTGCATCCTTAGGCAAGCTGGGAAACGTCACTCCCTCACTCGGCCATCGCTAAACATTTTGCTGCCCACCTGCTCCGTGTCTGCAGTTCTGGGAATGAGCTGGAAGACTGACAACAGGTCTCTCCTTTTTCATACATTTTGGTTGATTTTGCCATTGTTTTTTTTTAAAGGCGCAAAGAGTGATTTAGAGCCCATCCCTGACCCACTTTTTGTTCCTGTTCTCACCTGGGCCTCTGCAGCACCCTTCACCTCCCTTTTTATTTTAACTGTGCCAGRGAAACCCCTAGGCCAGCAAGTTTTTATTTGAACCTGAAGCCCAAGCAAAGCCCACGGAGCAGAGAAATACCTGCAGAGGAGTGAGATGATTAGTCCCAAGGGCAAATCCTGACCAAGGAGATGAGGGAGCTGCCTGGACATCTGCATCCAGAAGGAGCTGCACACACACCAGCAGGGCTCCTTTCCTTAGTTCTGACTCCTCYATCCTTGGGGARGARCACCTGRAACWGGAGTYAAACTCACAGACAGGGGTTTGCTGKTTTTGCTAGATRGAACCAGAGGATTTGGACTGTGGGCACTGTCTGAAACAAGCACAGACATGGCAAATCCTTCCTGTCCCGTGTGTGCAGSTGAGAAAGACAAAAAGGACGAGTCCAAGAGAAGGAAAGGAGCAGCTGAACAAAGCTGAAGCTCTCCAGGAAGGCAGCTGAAGATGCTTCAAAAGGGACTGTGCTTTCTATCTCCTAGCAACAAATGCCAGCAAAAAGAAAAAACAAAACCAAGGAAGATAGTGGGAAGGTAGTCTTGGTTGAGGAAGTGAGGGTTTTGSCAGGTCTCACCTCAAAGCACCTTCATCCCTCCCCTCTTATGGATACCAGCGCCAGTGCTCCTGTCCCAACCAGGTTATTTTTGCCCCAGCCAGGCTATTTTTGCCCCTAATGACTCGGGTAAGAGGTTTGAGGTTTCAGCCCCACTCAGAGCACCTCTTCTTCTCTCTCCCTGGCTTAACTCATGGCAATGGGGTCACAACAGCTGTGCAAGGGCAACCAAACATCTTGGCAGCTAAAAGGGGGACCCCAAAATTACACACGGGGTGGTGCTTAGCTGAGAGCAAGCTCTCTGGGGTTTTCTGCTGCTCAGTATTTCAGGCTCTATCTGCTTTTCCTGCAAGGGTATCCATCTGCAAACAGGGCAATATTTACAGACCCCAAAGCATCTGGCACCAGTGTGCTTTAACCCATTAGGAAATGGCTGGAGRACACCACACTCAGGGCTTTTAAAAACATTTGGAGGGGGGAAAAAAGCCCTGTGTCTACAGGAAAATCTACCCTGCCCATCTCTGTATCAATTACAGAAGAGGCATTAAAAGGTTTTAGTAATGATTTCTTGTCAATAACCTGGATCTTCAAATCCCAGTGTTCTTATTCCAACTCTCCTGGGAGCAAGACATCCCAGCAAAAAGGGGCACAACCACAGACACATCACAGCAGAGGCAGAGGAAAGATAATAGAAAGGAGATATTGAGCAGAGAAAAAAAGATCAGAGACAGCAATCTGCAGGAACAGAGACAGATCACGAGTTTAAAGGAAGGTGATTCTTCACTCTACGCCTATACAAATGATTTTCTTCCCTCTGCAGCTCCCTCCTCCCCTCTCCCCTGATGATTTGAAGGCTCTGGGAGCTGCAGTAAGTGTGACTGTTTTTCCGTGCGACTCAGCCCAAGATTTAAGTAGGCAGGAGGAAAGCACTCTCCTTTTCCATCAGCGTTCAATAGAGAGAGAGAGGGAAAACAAAAAAGAAACAAATGAAAAAAGAGAAAAAAAAATCAGGAAAGAGTCTAAGCTGTGAATCGTTAAAAGAAAAACACAACTACAAACATAAAAACCAAAGAGACGACGTGGAAAAATATACCCAGGTGATCCTTCCTCCCTCCAGCACTTCTCAGGTGTGTCAGGTCTTAAACCAGAGATTAATCTGCAAAGCTGCTGAGCCAGAGCTGGGGAAACTGGCCTGGGAGGAGCCAGATCTGATAATTCCCAGGACAGAGCTACAGGAGGATGCTGGCCTTGGGTTTGCTTGGCCCTTGGGAGATAAAGAAGGGGAGCTTGGGGCTGCTGCCAGTTATGATAAGGCTGCTCTATCAATGCTGATTATTAGCCTGGCCCCAGCTCACCAATCCAGATCTCTGGATCCAAAATCCTTTTCCTGACCCCATAAAACCCTYGGATAGGGCTGGGGCTGCTTGAGGCAGGCGCTTGTGTTCCGGGGGTTTTGTGACACATCCCACTTGCTGGCCTGGTTTCCTGAGGAAACGGGGAACACACGGTCACAACATCCATCTCTCCTTCCCTTCACTAATCAGTTCTGAACATGTCAGTCCATTTTAAATCCATCCAAAAAAAAAAAACAACAACCCAGAAGAGATTCACAGGGATACCCACTGGGCACCACAAGCATCATCCTCCCTGGTGAAAGCAGGAAGGAGAAATGTTTTACAGATTCAGAGGAATTTCGCCCAGGCAAAATCACACAGGAACTCCACACAGAGCTCAACCACCAGCAAAATGCAGGTTTTTCAGTCTTAAAGATCACGAGATGGCTCATTTTCATTACATCAGGAAAAKTCAGTGGGTTGGAACAGAGGAAGCTGTTACTGATGCAATCAGAACTCACCCTCAGATATGGGACCTTGCAGGAACGTATTTTTTCTGTCCTTCTCATGCTCCAGCAGCATTCCCCACTTACAGAAACAGGAATATTGCAAGATGAGAGCTGAGCTGATGATTTCTTCTTCTTTCCAAGACCTTCATCTTTCTTTGCCACCAAACATTGCCTGGAGCCCATCCAAAACTTTCCAGGAGCACGGCGTCTTGAGTGGGCATGCCTTGCAGCTTTTCCATTCTTCTTGATGTTATAAAACTGTCTTGTAAAAGCAAAATTAAAGGCTTGAGTGCTGGCCACAAAGCCCTTCCCATGGCCATGTTTTCTGTTGTGTGCAACTCCAAGACAGAAGGAGGGGGGGCAGGAGGGGGAGGGAGAGAGCTTTATGCATTAAAACTTCTTTATAAATCTATTGAAGGTATTTCATCACTTCCCGACATTCCCCTATAAAACCCACTCGGCTACGTTTACAAATTATAAAATTAGCTTTATGTGCAGGGTCCAGGCTAATGGCACAGCTAAATCTAGGGAGCAGGAAGATTAGATGCCTCTCCTTTGCCCATGGTGGGATTTATTTTGCAGCATCCCTTGCTGGAGTAGAAGAACTTCCCTCCCAAGCCAAAGCTTTCAAAGGTCAAAAGAGATTTGATCACTAAGTGGAAAGTTTTGGAGAAGCTACATTTGTGGGGAGCAAATGGAGCTGGATGGCTCAGGGCAACRTTTGTGCTCCACAAAGCATTTTTGGCAAATGAGGGAATGCAGAACTATAATCCCATAGTTCATAGCAAGACAGTTCAAGCACATGGGATGGAAGGATGGGGAGCTGTGCAATACTGAGGATATTCAGGGGAAAGAGGCATTTTTCAAATCCAGATGTTCCAAACAGGTACAAACCTGGCTGCTAGGCTGGGTACTTGGTACCCTGCCACACAGTTCAGGGAAACCTTGGGCAGCACCAACCTCTTCCCAGTGATCTCCCACTCCTTGGCTCCAGCCCAGGGCACTGCCCAGCACAGGTCTCTGAAGAGTGCTAAAAAACCCATTACAGAGACAGGAGCGGCATCAGCATGAGCTCAGCACAGCACAGCTGCCAGAAGGGAGGGCTCAGACACTTTAGCCTCTCCTGCCTGGCTCACATTCCCCTTCCAGCCCCTCTCCAGACTCCCCAGGGTGCAGAAGGAAGATGGATGTTGCTGACGTGGTCCACAGGGATACTGCCAGCTCCCCCTGGGCGGTCCAGGCCGGCAAGGAGGGAGAGCAGAGTCACCTCCTGATGCTTTTGGCCACTTGCTACCAGGGATGAACATTGCAGGGCAGGAGGGAGAACATTGCACCAGTTCCCTCATGCTGGAGGAGGAAACAAAAGCTAATCAGCCTCCAGCACAGGGGGCACAAARGGAACTTCAAGCTTTACTTCTCTGCTTTCTTTTAAAAAAATTATTTCCCTCTGTAGCGTATTAATTATCACAAGTCAGCCTTAGGAAGAGTTATCCGTGGAGCTGGGCAGGGGCTGCGAGGACACTGTGCTAGAGCAGGATTATTTACTTTTATAACTATTACACAAACAAGAGATAAGTACATTAGAACGACTCCCTTACCCACTGCACTGCTCACTCCCTCTTCTCCCTGCTCTCTGAGGAAGAGCTGAAGTTCTGCAGGTGGTATTTGTTTTCCTGGCACTGTGGCCATGCCCAGGATCTGGGCACCCAGCAGCAGCTATCGTGTTCTGGGGAGGCACTGTGATTTTCCAGCAAATTCATCTCCCCTCTCTGCCAGTCTGGGATGGTTTTAAAAGAGAAATTAAAGGGTGCATGGGGAAAACAAAAGCTACCTCCAGTCTCTGCTGCAACAAGGCAAACCTCAAGGTGAAATTGTTTCACGTCCCTCATTTCCATTTGCCCCTGAACTTGTGTCTTGCACCCTCTGGAGCCGTCTCCCATTTCTGAAGAGCTCGATGGGTGACATCCTGATCTACAGACACAGAAAGGAGTCTTTGTTTACAAGATAAGAGCCACAAAATGCAAATAAAAAGCCCCGAATAGCTCAAGATCAAACAGGGTCCATATCTACCCTTTCAAAGGCATCCAGGCTGTAAAACACCACAAGCAATGGCTTTGTTTGGAACATTAAATACGATACTAAAAACATCTCCTGTGCAAAAACAACATGCATATGAGTTTGTTTACGCTAGAACTTTAATCTCTAAAATAACAGGTCTTCAGAGCTTCTTTTAGGCTGAAAAATTAATTCCAAGTAACGGTTCAAGGTGTATTGGGTCGACATGGCCCAGGTTTTGGTAGTGGGGGGCTACAGGGGCRGTTTCTGTGAAGCTGCCTGAAGTTTCTCCAGGGTCCAACAGAGGTGGTGCAGCCCATGGTGGAGCAGGCTGTAGTTTCTCCAGGGTCCAACAGAGGTGGTGCAGCCCATGGTGGAGCAG